CCTGATGGTCTAGGGGCTAAGAATTCACCTGCCAATGCAGAAGACACAGGTTGGATCCCCGGTCTGGGAAGACTGCACGTGCCATGGGGCAACTGAATGCACGAGCCATAACTACTGAAGCCCGTGCACCCTGGAGCTTGTACTCCACAACAAGAGAAGCTACTGCAATGGAGCCCGAGCACAGAAACTAGTGGGTATCCCCTGCCTGGTGCAATTAGAAAAATCCCACACAATGCAACGAAGACTCAGAACAGCCAAAATATAAAAAAATAATAAAAACAATTAAAAATTAAAACTATGTATGTTAAGTACATTAGAAATGGAACAGCATTTTCTGTGTTGAACTGAGGACTTCTCAGCAATTTGAAGCAAAAATCCTTCTGTACTATTAGATGACTACTTAAATAGACCTTTAATACATCATACCTCTCAGAGTTTATGGGTGGTCTCTATACTACTTGTAGGCCTGTATTTCCTCTAAACTTGAAAACTAGCTTTTTAAGACATATATTCTTCATAGTCCACAGACTAAGATATCACAGTCCCACAAATCTTTCCTCCCCAGGTAAAACGAACAACTGGAATGTTGTTAAATGCCAAGGGCTGAGGGGAATTTGCAAAACGGTAGTCATGCACACACAGCATTGGTGAGCACAGACACACAGCAATGGAGACACAGACAACAGCTGTGGGGACACATGCACACAGCAATAGCGGACAGACCCACAGTGATGGTGAACACTGACACACGGCAATCTCAAACTGAATGGCTGTTCAGGGCCCCTGGAAATATCACAATCACATATTGGCAAATCATTTTATATGGGTGAGTAAACAAAAAGTTCAGAACCAAATAGAAATCTAGAATCATTCAATTTCCTAAGTAAGTTATTGACTAGAGAAAAAAAAAGCACAACCTAAAAGTTGAGAATTATGTCTTATTTGGGGACCTTACTGAGAACTATAGCCTGGGAGACTGCGTCTCAGAGAGCTATGAGGGAGAGAGCTCAAAGAGGTAAGGGAGGAGCCAGGATATATAGAAGTTTTTGCTGAAAAAAAAAAAACATGTAGTCAAACATCAAGATTAGTGCCAATCACAAATAAGCCAACATCACGTTAATGATGATAGTTGCCTTTCTGTGAATGGGCAGATGTAAGAGTCTGGGCTCACTGAAATCATTCCTTTGATGTGCATGTTAAAGCGGTCCTGTCTGGGGCCCTCATCCTGCTTCTCTCCACCCGAGTCCTTTCAGGTACACCATTAAGGGCAGCTGCAGTGGCCAAGAGTTTAATGGCAGGCAACATTCCTTGTTTACTAAAATGGCAGGCAACATTTTTTGTCCAACGTTCAGTGAAGGAAAATATGGGAATTTTTATATTCTTATAAAGACATTTGACTATTCCTTTAGTTGACTAATTGCACAGCTAAACATTAGTTGTTGCAATCAAGGGTGACAAGGAGGGGAAGGGTGGATGATGCATCCGTCAAGAAGAATGTTAAAACCATCATATGCTATTCCTGTTCATGAATAATTACCTGTCAGGACCTCACTCTGGTAGTAGCTAAAGCCCTTAGCAGGTACCTGCAACCATCAATACTTGATACCACTAAAATACCTCTGCCTTATTCACAAGAAAACCCAGATGGTCTTCCACATAAACTGTTACTCTCCTGTATCAGCAGAATGGTGGTGGTGGCACTCCTGGGACCTGGCAGCATGGCGGAATGCAGAGGCTGGACTCCGCTACAGTCAGGACTCACTTCTGCTGAGCTTCGGGGGCCAGCCTGGTCCCGAGGGGGCATGGAGGCCACGCCCTGGGAGTGGAGGGTCAGCGGGTCTCCGGAGGTCGGCCCTGGAGAGCCCTCAGCGGCAGAGAACGTGACCTTGGCGCCCGGCTGCCACCGGAGTTGTCAGACCACGGCCCGAGGCTCCCTCGCGTCCCTGCACATGGGTGTCCCTCCCACCATGGCAGTGCAATCTTTAATTTAATCTGTTACTACTTGTTATATGGACCTGAAGATATTTTATTACAGGGTTTTTCATTAGTGAAAAATTCATGCCTACCATAGAGAAAATATTTTAGAATTTAATGTTTCTTATATTTATGTAAACTTATGACTTCATTTATATGCTTATTCTTGTATATTCAGGCTATGAATATACTTTCAGATCAATTCATGTTCTGATAAATGATTTTAGTCTTTCAAATGAATGTACTGTACTGCTTGCCTGTATAAAGCCTATGAACAAACATAGGGCTTTTGTAAATGATGCATTTATTGTCATTATCGTTCTTTAATTTTTAAATGAGAAACCACGAGAGAAGGGGTTTTCCTGCGATTGTAAAATCATCATGACACGGTGTGCATTATCCTTCCAGAATGTTAACCAAGCTCGCCAACAATCACTCTGAAATGAGCAAACTTAATTTCAACCAATTGTCGCATTTTAACGACTGACTTAAACTGTACTTTTTCCAGCAAGAAATGCTTTTTGCCTGCAGCGTGAAGTGACGTAAAAGTATGGGTGCTGAATGTGAGCTTCTACTGAAATCTGGGCTGAAAGCATGACTAGAAGCCTATGACAATCTCTCCCATAACCTGGTCTCTATGGACCCGGATCCCTCCTCTCCACTGAGACTTTTCGGGGACCAATCACGATGCCCTGCGCCCGCTGCAGAGCTGATGCACTGGACGGTGAAGGAGCCACATCCCTGACAGACAGACAGCGTAGTGCAGCTCTGACGAAGGCCTTATTTTTCTTCTGTAAATCATCTTTTTACATCTGTTTGTAAACTTGTTAAAAGAATGGATCTAGGCATACATTTTTAGATTTTGATGACATAGCCATTCTGGATTGTATAGGTAGCAAATGTAACTTTTACTTGTTCAGTGGCACATTAAAAAAGCCAGCAAGAGATGCGTTCAGATCACGGTGTGTTGTTTATTATGCCGCTGATATCTTGGTAGACAGAGACGGCATGTCTCTTTACATGTGGGTAGCGCCTTTAACTTACCTGTACAGTTCACTGTTACCATTCTGTTTTTCTATTAATCTTTTGTGAACTTCCTGAATATGTGAGAAAGTACGTACAGTTTACTTTTGAACAATTTTTATCACAGTATTATTTATTGCTTTCTTTCAATAAAGTACTGAAGCCAAATGTCCCACTGCCACTTAAGAGTGCCGAGGGTAAGCTGGACTCTCACTGAGAACAGGCCCGAGCTGGTAATGGGAGCCCGTGTCATCACATGGGCCCTCTGGTAAGAGAAACGCATGGAGAGAATGGAAAGGCTAGAAGGGGGAACTATAGGTGTCCCCAAAGGATGACCGATGGGGTGTTCATGCCTTTGGATCCAGAGACAAGAGGCTCCATCACTTCAGCATCTTCGGGGACAGGACCCCTCTGCTGCAGAGGCGAGGGCAGTGGGCCGAGGGTGGCAAGAGAGTGCAGGTGTCAAGGCTCACCGAGGGTGCCCGGGCGGGGTGGCCAGGGGAATGCACTAGAGAGTGTGCATGTGCATGCTTGTGTATGGGAGCTGTTTATGTTAATTTAGTCAACAGTCTTTATTATTCATATACCCATAGAAACAAGAATGTAGCAAGGGGAGGTGGCAGGGAGATTCACGAGGGACGGGACATACGTACACCTATGGCTAATTCATGTTGATTTACGACAGAAATCAAACCGATATTGCACAGCAATTATGCTTCAGAAAGAAAGAACATACAAAGGTGGTCAGGAACGTATGAAAAAAAGATTTCTCATAGAGATTTTTTTTTCTCATGGAGATTTACAATCACAACTCTGTGTACATCTGGGTGCAGGCTGCCCACCATCATCAGACTGGCCCACAGCATCAGACATTCCTCCCCAGCATCAGGCCCTCCCCCAGCATCAGACCATACTACAACATCAGACACTCGCCCAGCAACAGGCCCTCCCCCAGCATCAGACCCTAGTCTAGCATCAGACATTCCCCCAGCCTCAGACCCTAGTCCAGCATCAGAAGACACCCCCCCCCCCAGCATAAGGCCCTAGTCCAGCATCAGACACTCGGCCAGCAACAGGCTCTTCCCCGAGCTTCTGATCCTAGACTAGCACAAGACGCATCAGACGTACCCCCTCAACATCCGGCCCTAGTCCAGCATCAGACCCAAGCCCAGCGTCAGGCCCTCCCCCAGCATCAGGCATGGCAGCCCCACTTGTCTGATGCTCCTGAGCACACTCAGGCAGCCCCTGAGCAGCACAACAACAGCTCGTGCAGGAGGTGCATCTGTAGGAATCACCTGCAGAGCAGCAGCAGCTGGGGTCTGTTTCAGGTCAAGGAGAGGTGGAGGGGCACTTGTGGAGGAGGCAGCCATGCTGTAGGCACGCTCCCCAGCTCTGCTTCCTCCCCATGGGGGCTCTGCTCTCCTGCTCTCTCACAGGCCCCAGGGCAGTGTCCTTCCAGATTCACGGTCGCCTTGATATCTCAAGCCCAAGTTCTGAGTTGCCACCCAGTCCAGTGAGGCAGAGGGCTGGGAGCACCCACGCTGAGGGGCTGAAAGGATCCCAGGGGGACAGCCGGGCCCCAGTGGGTGGCGGGGCAGGGGATGAGGGTGGCCGCCCACAGAGGGCCCCGCAGCAGCACTGCAAGGACAGCAGCGATGCCTCAGCTCACTCGGGGACGCTGCCGGCCTAGCACTCAGAGATGTTACCGCCGGCAGCAGCTCTGGGGATGCAGGAAGCCCGGTGAGTGACACCACGCTACTCAGGCCGTGTGCATGGGCACTGCTGACCATGGCCTCGGTTTTCATTCTGGTTCCAACTGTCCCTCCAAGGGCTGACGGGCTCCTCTTCTGAACGGCACACTTGTTTTATGTGGGTGAAGGTGTCCCTGCTTGTTTCTGTCCGCACTGTCGCCACTCGTCGTGTGGTTTCCTCCTTACAACCTGTGCTTGCGGCTCTTCCAGTTTAACTTAGGAGCAGCCCTTCTTTTCTGCATTTCCTAGTTGTCAGCGTTCACGGGGCCTTTCCAGGTGGCGCGAGCTGTAGAGATCTTGCCTGCCAATGTGAGAGATAACGAGATGTGGGTTTGATCCCTGGGTCGAGAAGATGCCCTGGAGGAGGGCATGGCAGCCCACTCCAGTATTCTTGCCTGGAGAATCCCATGGACAGAGGAGCTAGCGGCCTACACTCCCTGGGGTCGCAATGAGTCAGACACGACCGAAGCAGTTTAGCACACACTCAGGCTTTAGTTCAGTCGCTCAGTTGTGTCCAACTCTTTGCCACTCTGTGGACTGCAGCACTCCAGGCTTTCCTGTCCTTCAGTATCTCCTGGAGTTTGGCTCAAACTCAAGGCCATTGAGTCAGTGATGCCATAGAACCATCTCATTCCTGTTGCATCCACCAGAGCGGTGGCTGGGGCTCGGCAAAGTGCATGGTCCCACTGCGTGGGTGTGCACCTGCCCTCACCACTCCCTGACCGCGTGACCATCACTGTGTCCTCCTCTGTAAATCGGGAGGTGGCAGCCCCTGCTTGGGAAGGGGCACACCCAGCATCTGGTATATAATCAATGCACCATCCATCTCAGCGTTGTCTTTACTAATAATAGGGACAGCATTTAATAAGCTGCTCCTTTTTCTCTCGTGTGTCTTAACTGTGGTCCAGACCACATCTGTTTTACTTACCCCTGGGTGTATATCCCACACCCAGCACAAACAAGATACTGTACAAATATCTGGCTGAAGAGGCAGGAACATACCCTGTCCTCAGGAGGTGAAGCCGAGAGAGATGGGGGCCTGATGCTCATGCTGGGTGATGAGGAGACCCCAGGAGGACCTGTGTGACTGTGGGGGTCGTGGGCAGAACCCCTGAGGAGCTCCTGGGGACGAGGAAGGTGGCAGGAAGGAGGAGGAGGGCTGCTCCTCGTGGGATGTGCACAGATTGGACCTCACCCCTCACTGATGAGCACTTAGGCCGTTTCCAAACACTTGTCAGTGTTCTGGAGGAGTCAATCATTGCCCAGCTCCTACTCAATCAACTTCATAGAATATGTTTCTAGCGTTGGAGTATAAACATCTGCTTTATTCATTCCATGCTTCGTTCATCCACCCATCGAGCCAGCCATCTCTTCAACCATCCATACACTCACTAGTCCATATTCCACCCACTCACGAATTCTGTCGACCCATCAAGCCAGTCATCTGTTCATCCATCCATCCACTCACTAATCCATCCATCCATCCACTCACTAATCCATCCATCCATCCCTCTAGACATAATTCATCCACACATCCACTCATTAACTCATCAGATCATCTTGGACCCACCAAGAAGACGGATGCCTCCTCCACTCTTGCTCCCAGGAGGACCCCGAGTGTGAGTGACAGGAGCCTCGTGGGGCAGGGGGGGAGACACAGAAGGGACAAGCCTGCAGGTTCTCTTCCCTCTCAACGGGGAAGCACCCACCTGGTCCTAAGGCCTCCTTGCCGGGTGTCCAGGCTGGCCCTTTTCCTTCTTTCCAAACAAGCGGCCGATGCACGACTTGATGCCCTTCTTCGGGGCTTTGTGCAGCGAGTCCTGGCTGATGGTGCTGCTGCTGGGGTTGCCCCCGGGGCCGTCCTGAGAGCCGGTCGAGATTCGGGGAGCGAGAAGGACCTTTAACCAGCGGCCTCGTGCAAACACACACCCCTCCTCAAGATCTACTGTTAGAACCGGCCACCCAGCAACACCCGCGCCTCAACCTCAAGCACACAGTGGAGGCTGCTTCACCAACCACACTCCACACAAGCAATGCAGGCTCCCGGCCACAGACATCCGCCCCGGGAAGCTGAGAGTCTCCGACTGGAGCCCCCCCCCCCCACCCCGGGGAGGGCTTGACTCCAGGCCAGCTGGTGCAGAGGGTGCTCCGACCCTCCCTCAGGTTCGCCGCTTGGCAGGTGACAAAGCTCCTAGAGAAGGCAAGCTCCCCCGCTCCGGGCAGCTCCACCCCGCCTCTGCAGGGTGGCCGTCCCCGGCCGTGGCAGGAGAGCTGCTGCACAGGAGACCACACGTGCCCTCCATCGAGTGCTGCCTGGCTGAGGACGGGAGCTCAGCAGGCGGTGGTCTGAATGAGGACAGTGTCAGTCACAGGAGGGGATGGAGTCTCCTGAGAGGAGACCCTTGAGGAAAAGGGAGGGACCCTCAAGAGGGAACACGAGAGGCACGGGGCCATCACCCTCGGGAACGCGCCCTGGGCGGGGCAGACCTCTAGCAAGAGCAGGAAGAAAGCTCCCACAGCGGGGTCAATCCGTAGAGATGGACGTTTTCTAAAATCAGTGAGGCCACTGAGCTCTTCTCCCACAGCACCTGAAGTTCACCACTAAACACAGGCACCGAACCCAGTGGGATTCCTTTAAAATCATCCTTCTAACTCTTTCAAGAGAACAGGTGCAGGGCTCCTGAAACTGACGACGAGGCGCGCAGACCCCTTACTTGCAGGTGTCCCTGACGTCCTCTGGGCTGGCTGCGCGCAGCACCCCCGTGTGCAGCCGGTCCAGCCAAAGGGACTGCGGCGAGGCAGGGCTCGAGGCTTCACATTGGATGGCAGTCTTGTCATCTTCTACCTCTTCCATTAAAGCTGGCAGCTGAGTGAGACAGGTGTAAAATGGCAGTGTAAAACTGGCTAATGATAGACTGTGTTGAAAAAGGCAACCTCACAGGCTTTACATTATAACCAGAAACTTATTTGTAAATCTATTTGCTATGCTTTCCTCCAAGTAGCAAAAAACAAAAACAAAAACAAAAAACCCTTGTTCCAGCTTAGTGCCATCTTACAGGACTGTCTTGTTCAAGAGAAGCGGGGCATGGGGCAGCGAGAGCACCTGACTGAGTGCAGACACCCTGGACGGGAGCCTCCCTGAAGCCGGGCTCCGCCCTCCCTGGAATCCAGCGACCAGATGGCCCCGCCGGGCAGGAGAGCAGAGTGACGCCAGCACCGTGAACCCTGCATGGCATGAACTGCCCTGAAGAAAGGACTCTGCTCATCGCCAGATGCTGCTTCCACTAGCAAGAGGAAGAAACCTCTCAGCAAAGCCGTCCAGACCTCTCTGTTTGAAGAAAAAAAGGACACAGCTTGTGCCACCACCCAAGATCATTTGTTGTCATGATGCAGCCTACTGGAACCCAGGACAACAAGGGAAAGACAGAAAAGGTACCTAACCCGGCATGCGAACACCACGTGACTGGCTCATATTTCTCAGTAACGGACAGACTGGGGGCTACACGCTGAAGTGCTCCCTCGCAGTCCGAGTGTACTTTGCTCACTGTGGTTTACATAAAGCACCCCTAGGTCTTCACTAAGAGATGACCTTGTATGAGACTAGAGGGGTGGGATGGGGAGGGAGATTCAAAAGGGAAGGGGTATATGTATACCTACGGCTGAGTCATGCTGAGGTTTGCCAGAAAAGAACACAATTCTGTAAAGCAATTATCCTTCAATTAAAACATAAACCAATTGAAAAAAAAAAAAAACATGTTTCTCCTGGAGTCCCAGCTTTTCCGCTGGTCCTGGGTGTGAGGACAGGAGAGACAGTGGTGGTAACAGTGTGGGGAACAGATTAACCCCTTCAGGGTCCAGACAGGTCTCACTAGTACATTTGGGTGTGTGGTTAAGCCTGGGGAAGTTTCAGGAAACATGCATGGCAAGTATTTTTGTAAACAATGAGTGTGTTGTTTTAACCAACTAACCTGTGCCTTTTTAGTGGGATTCTCTAAAGAATACTGATCCACTGCAGCCCCACAGGAGCTTGGTGACAACAAAGTGACTTAGTGCAAAATACAGCTGAGCCCGTTTAACAGCAGCTGGATAAACTATGCACCCTCCCCTGATCTCCAACAAGAACCCTCAGACAACAGAAGGCTACAGAGGCTGGAAATGATCCCCACGGAACTGAACAGGGATCAGTCTCAAATTCAAGTTACAATAAGCCTTTATAAAAATCAGAAAACAACAAAAACAGAGTGGGAAATGACACGCCTGGGCTGACCGTGGACTCAGGGGAGACAAACACCTGCCTCAAAGTCAGGGACCGCAGCCAGCCCCTTCCTTCCCCGGGCCTCCTCCTGAGGAAGGCCTCTGGGTCCCCAGCCTGGCCGCCCGCCCCCAGGAGGGAAGCCCGCCACCCTGGTGCCCATGTGACTAGGATGGGCAGGACCGTGTCCTCACATAACAGGAGGGCACAGCAGGCCACAGAGCTGGTGAGCAGCACACCCAGGTCACCAGCCCCAGGGCACAGTGCTGCTCCGCAGTGCCCAGCAGAAGGGCTCCCGGGCACTGAGCTGCCTGAACTGGAGCGCGGCTGCCCGAGTCCTGCGGGAAGGTCCCAGGAGTGGTCGGTCAGTGGGCTGGGAGTGGGAGAGGGACAAGGACGGCCAGCCTTCGGGGCACTGGACTCAACAACAGGGGCTCATCCAAGGGACCCGAGGGGAGAGGCAGCGAGCTCCCTCCTGATGCTCCCTCCATCAGGGATGCCGTGAGGGACACGAGGGCCTCTGGAGGAAAGCGGGCTGGACGGCAGCAGGGTTAAGTGTCCAGGCTCTCATCAGACCAGTCCGCACCACACTGCTGGCTGTGCGAGCCTGGGCACAGGGCCCGGCCTCTCTAAGCCTCAGTGTCCACATCTGCTGAATGGGGATGACAGCAGCCGGGACCTCACCTGGGTGTCTGCCAGATGAGATGACAGGCTCGGAAAGCACTCGACAAGCTGCCTGGTGCACAGAGGCTCCTGCACACTGCTACCCCCGTCATTAGACTGGCATCCCGCAAAGCTACCACCTATGGCTCGGATTCAGCCGTTTCTTTGAATGGAAATTTCCACACTGAGTGGAAATTCCACTGTGGTCCAGACGTTAGGACTTGGCACTCTCACTGCCGGGACACCAGTCTGGTCCCTGGTTGGGGAATTAAGATCCCATAAGCTGTGCAGCATGGCAAAAAAAATAACTAAAGAAAATTTTAAAAATAATCCTTTGTCTATTATAAATAAGCATGAGTTGATTAGAAGGTAAACAAGTGGGAGAAAGGCAAACTGTTACAAGTGTCCCCGAATGACCTATTACCAAGAGAACCATCAGCATATTTCAACTGGTGGATGAGTTTCAAAACTTCCATTAGTGTCAATTATTCACCAGTACATAACCACATAGTGTTCATTCATGTAACACGATAAGGACTCTTTAATACTTCACAGAGAAACAAAGGCATGCTATATTATTAAATAGTTAACCTTTCGACGATGCTTCCTTAAATCACTAGGCTGAAAGGTGCATGCAAAGAAATGAACAGAAACCAGATGGATTGCAACTTTGATACTAAAAGTGCAAGAATTGTTACAGGCAAATACACTAAAGCAAACATGAAGGCAAACATATGTGAGATGAAGACTTAAGAGAACATGTAACTGGAAACAGAACATATTTTTTAACCACAGAAGTGAAATAAGCTATTCAAGGTTTACTAGAGAAACACTATAAATTATAACTCAGGAAGATACCATTCTATTACAATATCATGATTTATTAAAGCAGAGCATTCTGTTCAACAAAGGGTCTTAAGAGTTGTCTGTTCTCAGCCACAATTCGCTATAACTTAGTTTCTCTTAATAGAAAACACATTATACTTTAAAGGAGTAATTTCACTGATTAGGAAGTTACCATAATACCTATTTTAAACCTGAACAAATCTAACCAACTATTGGACATTAATGTAAAATCCTTACCTAGAATTTGATATAAAACTTTTCAGAATAAATCCATTAAAGCAGGTATCCCACGAAAATTTGTAAGGAAAGCTAGCATAATAGCAAGTGGAATCTTCACATCTTATGAACCATAAATGATACTTTGTAAAAGAGTCTAGTAGAGACATTAAACATGCAAAAGCTGATGAGATTTACCGTCTAAACTCCAAGCATCAACACAGAAAGGATATTGGGTCAAAAGACCATTAATTATACATTTAGAGGATCATTTCTCCATGTAAGCATAATCTCACTTATGATTACACAGGTTATGTAGTGGATGATCCACCTACACAATGCTTCTAACTGTACAGTGATACACTCACTCTAACTTACTGCTATGCAGGAAAAACACCATCTAATGAGACACGAAGACAAACCACAAACCAGACTAACAGGACACAGCACTGATATGACCAGAGCAAGTGGGAGGATGGGGGAGGGGAAACGGATGTGTGAACTACAGCCTCCGTTGGGAGGGATGGGAGGCTGGGGTCTGGATTGATGACGGCTAAACAGACAACAGGATGAGTCAGGAAATCAAAACCAATGATGAAAGCAGACACACCGTCAGAAAACTCCACAAGGAAAAAATATTCAGGACTGCTCTTTCACAAATACTCGGAAAGAAATCAAGCATGAAACCACAGAGAAATCGTCCAAGAATTTTAAATATCAACGACTTAGACAATGATACAAAGTATAAAAGCAGCGTGTCAAAAGACCACAAAATGGACCAGGTACCACTTCACATGCAGCTAAAATGACCCACATTTATTTTAATTCTATGCTAACAACACAGCTAACATGAAATGGGTGGTAACAGAAAAAAGGGATAATACAAGTGCAGTTTCAAGGCAGAGTGTTGTACACATGATTCAAGGGGTAAACAGCAATGCACTCAGAAACCTAGGCTACACACGCAAGAAAGCTGGCACATGTGCTTTAGAGCTGCACACTCTGTCACCAGAAGCCCTAGGTCGTCATCCCGTGTTGAGACGCGGAAGAGTGAGGCAGCCCGACTTCTTCCCTGGGGCCCTGGGGCCCCGGGGCCTTTAAATGGTTTCACGTGCACAGCTGGCCTGAGCACATGGCAAGGCCCGTCAGCAAGCGGACCAGTTCAGATTCTTGGTTTTGTTGCCACCGCATGCCCTGAACCCTGCAGCCAGGCGACCCCGGTGGAACATGTGCTGCCCGGCTTTTACTCGCCATGAGGGCTGCCTGTGGTAACTTTCACGAGGCTGTCTGCTCCCTGACGACAGAAACTTCCCTGCCGCTGTTGTGCCCAGCACAGGCCAGGCCCACCGTTCCAGAGGCAGGCTCTGGCTGAGTTCACGATGGCTTGCTAAGCCGCTGGTCCAAATATCAAGACTGATTGGTCCCTGTGCCATTATGGAATGATTAAAGACCAGGCAGTTTCACAAGTCTTAGACTTCTGAGCGTAGCAAATGTACCTGATTTTCTCTGGGGAAAAAGAGAAAAAACAGAGAAAGAAAAACAGTGTGCTTGGGGAGGCATGTGGCAGGGAAGAGGCAGGCATATACCGGAGTCATGACGTCCAGCTGGTCTCCCTCGCACGCCAGGCTGTGCCACCTCCTTCGGGGACGGGAGCGCTCCCTGCTGGGCGGGCAGGAGCCAGCAAGTGAGGAGGCAAGACACAGGTTGAGGGAGCTCAGTGACTTAAAACGCTGGGAGTTTCTGGTTGGAGGCCATTTGCTGGCTCCTGTTTTGGGTCGTCTGTTCTCCCAGAGGCTCCTGGAGCCGGCCACCTGGACTGCGCCGCACGTGGGCTTAGAAGGCCAAACGCCCCTGGCCCTGGGACAGCCTCTTCAATC